AACATCGCCGTCAAACAGTCACAAATTTCGCAGCCACTCCTCCATCCTCAGTCGTTCGTCATGCCTCCACTGTCACTCAAATAAACCATATAATTGTCTCCCCCGTCATCGACTATCCATCGTCGTCTTTACAGATCTGAAACAAATTCCAAATCAATCGGCGTCGAGAACTTCAGGGCCGTGGCCACGACCCAGAATCACCGATTTGGTCTCCTACCAGTGACGGCGACCTGCACAGAGCAAGGAGGGACGGCCGAATTTTTATTTTATTTTTTGGCTGAGATGGAGTTTGATTTGAGTTTGAGAAATTGTACATAAGGCTTAAACTGATTTGGGGTTCTTTTATGAAATTTGATAAAGGATGTGAACTCATTTGAAATTTTAAAGAAATTTAATTACAATAAATGAGTTAAATATTTATTGTAGCAACAGTTATGAAAATGAGGAGATGGGCGGTGGAGACGTGGAGTGGAAAATGTACGGAATGGGTGGAGACTTGGGAGGATGGAGAATGAGCCACATTTACAATTAAAAAATATAAAATTATGTGCAATTTTTAAGAATTCTAATTTTAGTACAATTCCCTTCCCTTGATAATTTTTTAAATTAATTACATCATCAAATTATTTAAAAAATTTGTTGTTTTAGTTAATTTAATGCAAATATTATAATTTAGTCCATATGTCTAATTTCTAATTAATCAAAACATAATTATTATTTTAACATTTTATTTAATTTTTATTGTTGTTTTGGTTGAAATTAAATAATAATTTTATATAACATATAAAATAATAATAATAACAATATGTTTTTATAGTTCGGTTGGTTTGTTCGATATTGTGCAATATGATAATCATTAATGTGCATTTCGTATAACACAATTATGCACTCAGAATAACTAGTTTATTCATTTTGTTAACCGATTATTTTGGTTAATCAAATTAATTGAAATAATTTATATTGCAAAAAAAATATTTTAGTGTTTTAATATCTATTTTCAATATTTTATATTATTCGTGCTTGAAAAGACATAAAAATACATAAATGATAATGTGCATTCCATAAACATTATTGTGCAATTCGTCTAACATTATCGTGTAGTCTAGTGGGTATTTTGTATGTGCATTTCACTCTTTAGAAAAATGAAATAACGTGTTTTCAATCAACATTATTGCATATAACAAAAACATATTAATATTTATAATAAATAAAATATATTATTGCATATAACAAAAACATATTACTATTATTTGTTTAAAATAAATAAAAAATATATAGATAAAATACAAACGTAGCATTTTTCATTATGGTCTATTAGTTCTGTAAATTTGTTTGTTTTTTTTTTTTTTTTTGTAAATAAATTCGAAATTGAATTAAAATAACCAATTTTTTCAATATATATGAAAAATGCACACTAGGACGACATTTTTTTTTTGTCACGCGGCATCATTTGTAATATCCCGTCAGCTTATTAATATAAATCATGTTTAGTTCCGATATATTAATATTGTCGAGTATTAATTTTCGGAATTAATTATTTTCAGTCGAAATTACCTGAAATTATTTTCGACGTTCCGTTTACGTTCGGAATAATTTTGGTAATTAAGCATTATGTTTAATTAAAGATTAAACATAAAAGAGGTGATTAATTATTAATTAATCACATTTATTCATAATAAGCCGTACGGATTTATTTTAGTGCCGAAGCTTATTTTTCAAGTATGGAAAATAGTTTTTCTAATTTAGCTTATGACGTGTCAATGTTTGAAGTTATGAGGGGATTAGTCATCTAAATATGGCTTAATCTTATTCCAAGTGTCATTAGATGGCTAAGACACATAAACCCCTCATCGTCCAACTTTTTATTCGGTCATGTATATAAAGATGGAATTGGAGAAAATTTTTCCCCACGTTTAAGCTATATGCTCATCTGATATTTCTCTAAAGTTCAGCAAGTAAATAGGATAGCCATTGCCTTAGTTCCTTTACACTACACGCACGGCAAGTTGCACCGCAAGCTCAGCACACACGC